GCTGGGAGAAGCCGAGACCGTCCAGCAAGAAGCGAAGCCATACCCTTCCTTCGCCGATTCGGCAGCCGCGATGTATTCAGCCTCGGTAGTGGACGTGAGACGGTGGGTTGCTTGCGCGCCGACCAAGAGATAATGCCGGAGCCCAGGTTCCAGCAATAGCCACGGTAGAACGCCGAGTGTCGATGCAGCTGGCGTGACTCGCATCCGCGTACCCATTCAGATTGGCGACATCGGCGCCGCCGAGGTGCAGACGGAAGTGCCGGGTCCCCTTGAGGTAACGCACAACGCGTTTCGCAGCCTCCCAGTGGATCTCGGCGTAACAGTCGAGGAATTGGCTGAGATGCTGGATGGCGAGGGCGATGTCCGGACGCGTCCCGATGGCGAGGTACATTAGACAGCCGATGAGAGAGCGATAGGGCAAGCGAGCGGCGCGTTCTTTTGCCGCAGGCGTCTTCGGAGAATGCTGAGCGCGCGAGAGGCGGAGGCCGGCTTCCATGGGCGTAGAGACCGGCGCGCAGTCGGGGCCGTCTAGACGAAACTGCTTGACGATCTTGTCGATCAAGGCAGTCTGCGAGATAGCCACGGACCGGCGAGCGCGATCACGGTCAATTTGAATGCCGACGCAGAAACGCGCCTCACCCAAGTCCGCGATTTTCCAGACACGACGGAGGTCGTCCTTAAACTCCTCCTTAGCCGCAGCCGAGCTAGCTGTCAGCAAGAAGTCGTCGACATGGACGCCGGTGAGAACAGTGCCCTTCGCCGACTTGCGGTAGTAGACACAATATTCACAGGGCAAACGCGTGAAGCCGATGCTCAGCAGATGCGCGTTCATCGTGTCATTCCACGTACGACTGCCCTGCTTCGTCCCATAAATACCACGCACCAGTTCCCAAACCCAATCCTCCTTGCCCGGCTCCTCGAAGCCGTGCGGCTGCTCCATGTAGCAGTACTCGTCCTCGGGAAGGATCCCATAGAGGAACGCGGTCTTCACATCAAGCTGCTCTACTTCCCAATCGAGGGAGGCGGCAAGGTGGAGGAGAGCGCGGAAGGACTCCATGCGCATGGTAGGTGAGGAGGTCCGGTTGTAGTCCTGCCCGTAGACCTGTTGAAAACCCTTCGCGACCCATCGAGCCTTGAAGCGCACCGGGTCCCCGTTCTCATTACGCTTCAAGCGAAAAACAGGTTACCCTTCATGACGCGACGCCCGGCCGGCACCTGAGCTCGAGGAATGAGGCGGTACACGCCCAGGTCCTTGATGGACTGCAGCTCATCGCGCAACGCGGCACGCCACTCCTCGCGAAAAGGCGACGCCTCTGCCTCGGCCAAAGTGGCCGGGTCCCCAGGATATTCAACGTTGAGTGGCAACACATCGTCCCCGGCCAACGCCGCGAGCACAGACTCGACGTCCGGCGTGGCGTCGACGGGCGGGTCACCAACAGCGAAGTCGGGAGGGGGCGCGGGAGCAGCATGCAGTAGCCCCAGAGGGGCAGCGACTGCGCGCGACACCGGAGAGGCCGGGGCAGGAATGCCCGAGGAGGAAACCCGGCGAGGCGCCGCGGAGCGTATCTGGCCCAGCGTGCGGTCCAGGCGCGAGATGAAAGGGACACCGTCCGCGGCAGCCTTCTTCTGGGTCAGCAGAGGCAGACGCGAAGATCGACGCACGGGAGCGAGAGGCGGCGGCACGGGAGCGAGAGGCGGCGGCACAGGAGCGAGAGGCGGCGGCACAGGAGGCGCCTCAGCTGGCAGAGGCGGAGCGGAAGGAAGAGAGGCCGGGGCCGCATGGGTGCCAGACAAGGAGGGAGGCGGCGGATCATCGTCGAGAACGTCGAGAGGCGCAGCAATGGGAGACACAGCCTGAGGAGACATAGAAGGCGCGACCTGCGCGACAGGCCGTGAGGCCGGGGAGGATAGTGTCGGAGACGTCTCGTGTGATTCAATGAATGCAACATGGAACGACTCCACGACCTTGTGAGTCGCGCGGTGGTACAGCCGGTAGGTCTTCGAGTGCTGCCCGTAGCCGATGAGAACACACTCGACGGAGCGTTCATAAATCTTAGGGTTATGCCGATTCTGGATGAGCACGAAGGCCCGACAACCTATCTCCCGCAAATGCGACAGGTCCGGCTTCTTCTTATGCCACATCTCATACGGTGTGACACCTGGAGGCAAAGAACGAGAGGGGGTGCGCACCGACAGGTAATTAGCGGTGACGAGAAACTCGTCCCAACGGTTCGCCGGAGCAGCAGCCGCCAAGCGCATCGCCCGGGCACGGTCCATGAGAGTGCGGTGGAAACGTTCAATACGACCATTCTGAGCGGACGTGTGAGGCGCCGTTGTGCGCCATTGAGAACCGCGGCCCTCGATCCATGCCTTGAAGTCGTTCGACAGAAGTTCCCCATTGTCAATCTGGACGACGCCCAGACGCTCGCCCGTCTCGACCTCGCGAGCAAGGACCCAAGCCTTGAATCGCTCGAGGATGACCTTGGATGGCACGGGGATGGCCCAGGTGTGAGACGTGAAATCGTCGAGAATATTCATTGAATAAAGGTTCCCCAGAGCGGAACGAACATCCTGCTGCCCTTGTACATCTACGAACACAGTGCCAAGAACCCGCTTTGCTTTCTCCCCCACTCGCACCTTAGGAACTGCAGTTCTGGTCTGTTTACCAAGAATGCAATGTTCACATTTTGCAGGTGGAGATAGGACGATAGGCATACCTATAGCGGATCCGAAGCGTGCCATGTCGTGAATCGTACGATGATTGACATGTCCGAGGCGGCGGTGCCACACATCGAGCGTCGGCACACGGCCTGCATACAAGGCATGTTCGGTGGAGGGAGAGGCGCCGTCGAGAGAGTAGAGGCGCTTGGACGTTAAAGTACCGGTAGCGATGACAGCCCCGCCCGGTTTGAGAATGCGAACACCGGCACTAGAGAAGAGCACCGAGTAGCGAGCCGCAGACGCGCAGAGAGACGAGATGCTGACGAGCCGAACAGTGGCCTGAGGCACATAGAGGACATCCTCGAGAAGGATCGACGCGCCGCGACCGATGTGCAGGCGTACCTTGCCGACGCCGCAAGCGTAGATAACCGATCCACTCACCCCACGAATGCCGCGAGGAGAGATAGGGCGGAGGTCATGGAAGTCGGCCTTGCGAGGAGACAAGTGCGTAGACGCGCCAGAGTCGAACACGAAAGGCTCAGTCCCTTCAGTGGAGAGACGACGAGTCGTCGTAGGCACCGGCGCCACTGAGAAGGCGGTAGGGTCGGCAGGAGCGCGAGAGTGGGTAGACCAGTTGAGCGAAACCGACTCCTCGTCTTCAACAGAGACCAGGGACTCATACTCAAAGAGGTCCGCCGGGACAGAGACGGAGGCGAGCCATTCCGGGGACGTGTCAGTCGCAAGCCCAACGAAGTCAGTCTCGGAGGTGGTATCCGCCGAAGACGGTTCCGAGGTCGATGTGGCCGAGGGCGGGACCGTACTCAAGAGATAGGCGTGGCCGGTCTTGCCGTCAACGATGTACGCGCGACCTTGCTTGTCGCGGTCGGGAGCGTTAAAGACGGCAGGCTTACCAGGACCCTTGCCCTTCCTTTTGTTTGCGAGCACTTCCTCGCGACGACCCTCCATGCCGCCACCGGGGGCCCAGCACTCCGGAGCAGTATGCCCATTCGGGCGCGGGCACTTGGCGTTGGTGCAAGTCTTCTGCGATGAGGTCGACTTGCCCGGCTTGGAATAGGCGGCGAGAGCGGTGGCTGACGAGGACGCCTTGCTGTCGGTGAGGATTCGCTGCTCGAGGTCAAGGCGAGCGGCGATGTCGACGGAGGTGTACGGAATGCCCGAGGTGGCCGATGCCGTGAGCGACGAACCGACCTGCGATTGGAGGTGCGTGAGGTAACCGTTCATCGAGTTGAGCATGCCTATGGTCATGAAGACCTCGAGGTTCGGGATGCCTATGTGGAAGATGCGCTCGGCCAACTCTTGGAGGCGCATGGTCGTCTCCGAGAAGTGCTCCTCGGCTGTGTAGCGACAAGCGAGGAAGTCTTGGAGGAGACGAACCTGGGCATATGCGCCGGGCTGTTTCTCGTGGCGAGCACAGAGGGCGACCCATAAGGCGCGTGCGTCGATGAATCCGGCAATGAAGCGCTGCTCTTCCCTCGCGGCCTTCGAGCTGAGTAAGGCGATGATAACTTGCTCGTTCCGCCGGAAGTTGGTGACAGAGCTGGGGTCGTCGTCGACAGAGGGAGCGACTTGTTCACCAGACAGATAGCCCCAAGCGAAGCAGATCTTCAGGGAGTTCTCGATGTAGGTCTTCCAATCGTACCAGTTGTCCTTCTTTCGGTCGAGGATGACGCCGCCGTTGAGCAGGGACGACGGTACGTGGAGGAGCTCGATTTTCTCCTTGGCGGTCGCTTTGAGATCCATTTTGGGCGCCGGAGATAGTTCCGTTTGAGTTCTCCACCAGATGCTGGCAGACTCATGTATGAATCCCTGTGCTGAGCACAAATGGATCATACATAAACTCCAGAGCTTACAGCAAGCCTTCATATATAAAGGCGCTGTAATCACTGCAGCGGACGCCCCGCTCCCTACCCGATTGGGCAGCTGCCCTTTAGGGATAGCCCAGGTCACCCGGTGCCGAGGTGAGCTTGCGGCGGCGGCCCCTACTACCATAATAGGTCCCATCGCGCGCTCTTCCACTTTGGGGCTCATCGGGCAAGTGCGATCATGGTTTGTAATCAACGAGATCTCATGCGATCTACAGATTCAGATATGCGTATGTCGGGCCGCATGACATATCTTCTCGGGCTAGGTACATTGCCGTATATATCCGTTTCACGTGTAGCATATTGCCTGGACAGTTTATACCTGAACGGTTTAAGTATCGAGGTCCGAAAATGCACAGCCTGTATGTCGCGGTCCACAACATTGGACATATGTCGTGCCTCATAACATACTACACTATGTAGTTGAAGCCCTGACGTCACACTCGGACATTTGCTGTAGCCGTAGATAGTCTGTATTCACGCAAGATGTCGCCAATGTACAATACACTGGCTCTAAAACGCGCGGGCAAGATTATCTTACGGTAAACATCGACTACGCCATCCTCCCGTCTGTTGCCCGCCTGCTCGTCACCGACCCACCATCGCGTTCCCACTCGTTACCCACAGGTCCCTACAATTCGTCCTCCCGTATCTCCGAGTCGTCGTCCCACCTATCACCCGCCGCCTCCCATCCTTCGCCCACCCTGACAACCTGTGTTCATCAGCCCGCGGCTAACGGATGTAGCGAGCTGGCCGATCACGCAGCAGCTTCTGTGCGACTTTCGCGTGCGAACGGGGATCGCAAAAAAGCCTGGGGAGATGATAGGTGAGGCATTGACTTTGCAGGATGATGGGCAAAGCACGCACGTACACCTCGATCTGGCCTGCCTCCACCAATGTGGAGATCTCGCCGGGTTTCAATCTCGACGCAACGCCGACGTACTGGCCTTCATTCGATCCTGATCCAGTGTCCGGAGTTGCGGACGATAGATTGTAAACTCCTGCGCTAGAGGCAACCCCTGTCGATGGCCAGTCAACGCCTCGTTCAGTCAGTGTGGTAACTGGTTCACACTCGTTGACGCACCGTCATTTGTCCCCGCTCGCCACCATTTGTCCCCACTAACGTACCGTTTGTGCTGGTCGACGCGGGCGGCGGGGTCGACATGTCACCGTTTGCACTCGCTTACGTGCCGTCGTTTGTACCCACCGATGTGCTGTTTATCCTGGGCGACGTGCCATTCGACACGGTCATCGAGTTCAATCCACTGGTTGATGAGTGCTTCAGTGAGGAAAGGACTCTGCGAGTGACGGCATAAGAGGGTCAGTCTGGCTGTGTGCCTCACACATCGTATTTGTGCTTACCTGGGTTAACTCGCTACCGAATGCGTCTTGGAGACTCCACCGTGCAGTCTTCCGTGCAGAGATAGGCCTAGAGCTAGATGGTAGAGTTACAGTAGCACGCACAAGTGCAGTGAGCCTTGCGGGCGCCCCCGTAAACCCAACGTTTGGTTCTATTTGTTGCCTCACCGAATTTGGAAAACCCGATGTTCTCGGGCTGTTCCTGGCCAATCACAACGCGTTTAAAGGTCCTACTTAGGCCTGCAACATACCAATAATTCGCGTTCGGGACGTTTCCGCACTCTGTGTCCATGTATTATATACTGCAGTAGGGATCAGATACATGTTCAGTAGCATATATCACAACAGATGAGATGTAGCACAACATTCTCGTGTACAATAGGGATGTCTTGTGTACTGTACTGGTTCTCAGCCGAGTCTCGAGTCGTAATGGGTGCTGCGGCGCGATACATACTGGACTCGATAATGACACAGTCGTTGTATGTACAAAATATATTCTGATCATCATGGCCATTTACCAACATGCCATTCCAGTTCGTTGAACGTTATACATTGCACGCGCACGCAGTGTTTTCCGGATTAAACAAATCTAATTCAGACTGATCTATTCCAAGTGCGTGCGCCCCGGCCTGCCCACCTTGCCCACCGTCACGGTCACTCTCTCCTTGCTCATGCGCCCATCTTCGTCCGTTGGCCGTGCTTGCGTGCTGGACATTCGCCCTGCACGCTCGCGGTCGTCGTGTGTGTAGTGCTCATCCGCACTCTGGGTCCGCTCGCTTTCCCTCTCGCTCGCTTTCCCTCTCGCTCGCTTTCCCTCTCGCCCGCCTGCCCTCTCGCTCGCCCATCCACCCGCTTTCCTGCGCACTTGCTGGTCCCCTTGCCTACCCGCTCACCTCATTGCCTGCTCGCCTCCTTGTCCGCTTGTCCGCCCATTCTGGACCACCCACCAGCTCGTCTGCTTGCCCTCTCGCTCGCCCGCCTGCCCTCCCGCTCGTCCGTAAGATCGCCTGACTGCGCACCGATCTGCCCGCCTGCTCACCCGTCTGCGTCTGCATCCGTCGGCCGTGTCTGCGTGCCGGGCGTTCGCCCGGCACGCTCGCGGTGGGCGTGTGCTGTCGTCTGGTCACTTGCCACTCTCCAACCCGTCCGCTTGTCTGTCGGATGTTCGTCTTCCTACCCACCCGTTTTCCTACCCGCCCGTTTTCCTACCCGCCCGCCTTCCTACCCGCCCGCCTTCCTACCCGCCCGTCTTCCTGCCTACCGGTCTGCCCGTCCGTCTTCCTGCCCGACAGTCCGCCTGCCCGTCCTTCTGCCAGTCCGCCAGTCCGCTCGCCCGCTCGTTCGCTCCCGCTCGTGCCCGTCGTCCTTCCGTCGGCTGCGTTTTCACGCGGGGCATTAGCCCTACGCGCTCGCGGTCGACGAGTGTGCTGTACCGCACGTCGCCGCGTCCTGTGGCTACGGTCAGCTCGCTCGCTCGTGTGCGTCTGCGCTCACCTCGATATCAGCGTCGGCTGCTCGCTGTTGTCGTGCCCGCTGTGCTCTAACGACGTCGGTGACCGACGCGGGGTGGTGCCAGTGGAGGTCGTAAACGGCGGGCGGAAGCGCTCGCCGCTCGCTCGGCTCGTTGCGAGCTCCCGGGTTTGGCCGAAACCGACGCCACGCAGCGGGCAGGGCAGGGCGGCAGGGGATCCGAGATCGTACCTGATCTCAGATGCCCTGACCCCGATGTCCATCCATATTGGGTATTAGCCTCGCATCGCGCGCCAGTACCGACCCGCCGGGGACGAAGGGGCCAGGCGCCCGGGGTAGCTGCCATATCAGGTAACGACCGACGGCGCTTCGTTCATACATGACGGCGCCTCGCTCATACATGAGCGAGTGGTAGCTCATGTATAAGAATGGCTGCAGGTAAGTACTGGAGTTTATGTATGATCACTCCGTGCTCACTACAAGGATCTTATACAAACATATGCCTATATGGCCTGAGTTCTCGGCGTCTTGGGTACCGAGACTCTGGGACTCGAGGTTGGGGTGATCGTCATTGATCAATTGGCTGGCTATATGCGGGGTATATGCGGGGAAAGCACACTTGATGGGTGCCTCGATGTTGTTCCTGGGTCTGAATAGCCGAAAAGAAGTCTCAGGTAAGCGGGCGAGTTCAGAAACACCGCCCGGGGCTCATAACCTGTAGAGACTAGACGTTCGGTCAGACGCTCAGTCGTGGTTCAACTTCGACTGAGATTAATCTACCTAGACGTTCGGTCAGACGCTGCTAGGTAGTTAGCTACTGAACGTATTGTATAGTATGTGTGCGGGGGCTTACCTCAGTCGTGGTTCAACTTCGACTGAGGAAAGAGGGAGAGAGGCGGAAACGGACGAACCACCCCCGGCGGTATGTCACGTGCACGGTGGCGGAGATCGAGATCGCGGCGCGACCTCAACAGAGAACCACTTCTATGCGACGTGCCCATCAGAGACTAGCCGACTTGTGAGTACAGCAACAACGGGTCCTGAATAAGCCCCGACTCGGATACTAAACATGTAACTGACCATTTCGGTAGGATTTTGCAAATCCTCTTGTGCGACCACATATGAGGTTCCTGCCACGCATCGGTGCACCTGTCTCGGAGTTCAGAGATGGTGAGAAATGGCTCGACATGAATGACGAAGCACTCGAGAGAGGCCAGCTCATGTGGATGGACGAGAAGACACCGCACCGGCACTTCTACATCAAGGAACTCGCGCGGCTGCAGGATGGACGCTACGTGATGCCGCTGAGATTTGTGGAAGAGAATGAGGTGGACTGTCTTGATGGCTTCCTCGTAGTCCATTATCCTGCGGTACGTGATCCATCATTTGATCAGAGATATTTGTAGTGACATACGGATTTGTGGATAGACGGGGTTATTTGTGGTTCGTAATCAGGAGTTCATCCGTGTAGCGGCAAGGGAGCTGCAAGACAACGTGATAGAGATACAGGCAGGTCTCAACATACAATTTGATGGTGAGATCTGTTTGCACGTACTTATCGTATATGAGCCACATAGTGCTGATGTGTGGTATTTTCAGAGCTTGCGCCTCCATGGGTTCGGAATGTGCGCCATCCAGTCCGAGCTACAGCTCTCAAACGCCCAACATTCACGGTCCGATTGATGGCTTGGTGCGATGATGTCTCTGGAAACAAAACGAAGCAATACAATGCTCATACCAATGTCTACGTCGCAAACATCAACCTCCCGCATGAGAAACTCAAACAAGAATACTTTGTTCGCTTTTGCTCTACATCGCAGCATGCGTCGTCGTCCGAACAACTTGAAGAGCTTGCCAAAGACACGTGAGTATTCCATTACTAGTAGCCGGTGGAAAGACATCGAAATACACGTACTGAAGGGTCAGGGCAACAGGGGTCCGGACAGATGGCATACAGCCTACGATTGCAAGCTTCAACAGGAAGTCTTGTTCCGCATCATCCCACATGTCTTCCCAGCGGATAATCCCCAGCAATCAGAACATTGTTCGCACATTGGTGGTAATGGCAACAAACCCTGTCGAGCTTGCAAGATCGGCGGCACCGCAAAGGAGCGGGAAACAGACGAGAAATATGAAACATTTTTCGCGGTGAGTAAGTTGCAATTCTATCGTAGATCTGCTTCTCACCTGGGGTTGTAAGGCTGGACCTCATCGCACGACGGAATGGACAATCAGCCAAATCGAGTCACAGCTATGGATTGCGGGCCTTGGTGTGCAGGATACAGTGGATCTTATGCAGACGAACACGGGAGTTAAAGACAAGACCGCCCAATACTGGATTAGCATCCTGATTAAGAAAGCGCGTGCACTGCAACACGAGCGAATAGCAGCAATCGCAACGAGGGACCCGCGCTTGAATGATCGTACCTGCAACCGTGACGCCGAGGCCAAACAGGCTGTAAAGAACACAATCTCCCATGAGATACAACAGGAACTGCACGATTGGCTTGTCCGTCAGCCTTCACAGAGCTATGATGCGCTCCCAGCTACTTCCCGTACGTGTTTTTCAATACATGATGGAGTCGTCTTCGGAAGCTCACCTCAAGTTCTGCAATCACAGCACTTCGTGATACGCTGCGACCAGGGGACCACTACAATGTTCTGCTCGGGCTCCCTGGCGTTGAAATTCATTTCGATACACCAGGTGAGATTCTGCACACTTACCTACTTGGACAGGAGAAGTATGTTTGGCACAAGACGACCTCGCCCTGGGACAAGAAGAAGGACGAACTCTTTGCGGCACGGCTTCGTAGTACCTCGGTCGATGGTTTGACCTTGCCGCCTCTTCGCGCAGAGTATCTGCTGCAATACAAGAATTCACTTGTCGGGAAGCATTTCAAGGCGTTGCAACAGGTTGGTGTGTTCCATCTACACGACGATCTGTGCTCCGATCTTGTCCGGCAACTCTGGAAAGCAACTGGTGAACTCGGCGCAATGCTATGGTACAGTAAGATAAGGAGAATGGATGAGTATTTGGTACGTCTTGGACTCGCAGTGCCGGACACCGTCGCGAGCCATCACTGTCACTGACCTTGAACATTCGTAGGCAGATCTAGAGATTCTCATCGCGAACGTTCTCGACGTCTGGGTGCTCATCGATCCGAATCGAATCCTCACCAAAAACAAGCTCCACGTCCTCGCTCATTTGATAGCGAACATTCGCCGCTTCGGTCCCGCGATTTTGTACTCCACAGAAGTCTTCGAGTGCTGGAACGCTATCTTCCGATTCTGCAGCATCCTCTCGAACCATCGCGCACCGAGCCGTGACATCGCTGTTGCATTGGCCGATATGGAGCGCTTCAAGCATCAGGTGAGCGGCGGCTGGTGGTGTAACTCCGCAGGCGAATATGTTCGGGCAGGGGACAGAGTTTGCACGTTCCTTCAGGAGAGTCCGAATCTGCAGCGGCGTCTGGGCTGGGTGGAGGATATACAAGCAACACTAATAGTTGGTGAGCAGTACAGTAATGTCGTCTTCGTTGCGAATTGAACGCTCACATCACTGGTTTCCCAGGCACGGCGAAGCTAGAGGCACGGCTCAAGCGATGCCCGTCTAGCTGGGCCGATGCTATTGCACCATTATCGCTTCCACCGCCGACGCATGATGGCGCACCAAACTCTTTAGATATAACAATCTTCCAGCAGTGCAAATTCTTGGTGTCGCAAGCAAAAGACATTTGTAAGCCTGGTTCGTGGGTGTTTTTCAAGGTTCCACAAGACACGGCGACGCCTGCAGTACCCGAGATGGTAAGTGTAATAATCTGGTATTTCGATGAAAATCTTAGGCTGATCACGCACACCGCCTGCTCTGCAGCCTACAGACGTGCGAGCAGGGCGTATCTTCAAGATCCTCTCTCCTGTTGGTGGCAGAGAAGCGATCGCCGTCGTACAATGTTTCGACATCATGGGAGAACGGGATGACTATCTCAATATGCCCATCCTTACTCCCAGTGATCGGCACCCTCAGCTTGTCCCCCCAAGGTCTGTCTACGACCCGGTGATCCAATGATGTGCTTACCTTTTCACCCCCTGCCCTTATAGGATATCCTCTTCATCTTCAATGCACAGCATGACTGCCGTGCCTGTCATTGCACCACAACCGCGCTGGAGCACATCGTTCAAGAGCGAGTTGTCACGGCCCGAACCCGACTCCACGTTACACACGCAGAAACACCGCGTTTTCTGCTGAACATGCATGCTCTTCACAATGCAGACCTCGTTCGCGAGACCTTACCGCGGAATCTCACAGAGCCTCGGTATTATCTTGCTGACCGCAAGGCACAGCACCGTCGCATTGCCACGGACCTACGTGTCACTGGCGGAGCCCGGAGGGCACAAGCTGCTGCTAAGGCTGCCCAGACTCGCATTCGTAACAAAGAGGCTCGTGCGGCAACGACTTCGAGCCACAATCCTCAGGCTCAGACGCAAGCAGATGGTACCAATGATCCACTTATCGCAGGTTCGCCAGTCGCTCATAGCCTCATATGTGCTTGTTCGAATGACCTTATCAAATTGCAGACTCGGAGACCAGTGTGGCGAATGAAGATACTGGTACTACTAGACAGGACGACGATGTGGAGATGGAAGACGTGACATCCTAGCATATACTGTACATGTATACCGTGACGTGCTACTCCCCTTATGAATGTGTGAACGAGTCTGAGTCTCTCACTCGCACCGTTGTAATCAGAGCGAACAGTTCATATTGTGGGGCTCTTGCGCCGTGAGGTTGAAACAGCCTGACAAACAGATCAGTCAGCCGTCAGGGAGAGGTCTGAGCCATGTCAATGTAGAGGGCCTGATCGCCTTACCTCGCACCTCCTGAGGACCTTGTGAACCAGGTCGTGATCAGGCAAAGGCGGTGACCCTAGCGTAGGGTCCCTCCGCTATGAGCCGCATCTCGCGGGTTACCTCCGTGGCGCCCGAGTGATCCAGATCTTCCGAATGCCACATCAAAATGGGCGTGTAGTGCAGCACTCGATGCCACGGCGCGCGGTTCGTCCGACTGTTGGTCCGCGTTCCGTGTCGCCTCTAGCGTACCAGTAGTCTAGAGTCGACGGTATGAGGCCTTGAGGACGAGCGCCATACAGAGACACGGAAGTGAGATGAGTGACGAGCGCGAGAGACGGGAAGATCTACTTAGAGACATCAGCCGAGATGGATGCGACGCGCGACGGTGCGGGAAAGGATGAGAACGAAAGCAAGCAAAGGAACGAAGAGAGAAAGACATGCGCGCGTGCGCCTTGTTAGTATGATACGACCGTCCTCCCCCGTCAAAGATGAGTCTGCCTTCCTCCGCCATCATGGCACGAATAACGATTAAAATAAGTAGATGATCGGTACCCAGCGGTACCCGATCATATGTAGGAGCTTCCTGATCCGAGTCAGCGCGCCTCATAATCTCTGCTTTCTTCATCTCTTCGGGGGACACTTTCTCCTTCCGTTCAGTTCTCTCCACTCTCTCGACGCCGTGTCCAGCATCTGTGTAGCGGTTCAGTACACGGGTGCACGCTCACAAGCGACCCTTCTTCAACCCGGCGCAGTCGCAGTCCATATGGCTCTGTTTGTTGCGGTACAGGTCCTTCTGCTCACCTTCGTGCTAGCTGCCGGCCTCTGGCTCCTCTTCTCCCGCAAACATGCAAGGCTCCCACCCGGACCCCCGGGCAGGCCAGTCCTAGGCCACTACGGCAAGATACCCATTGCGAGTCCATGGCACTTTTTCGGCGAGCTAGGGCACAAGTACGGTCAGTTCACGCGTATCACGGATCCTCGCGCCTCCCGGAAGGCTAATCGTGCCCGTATGCAGGCGAGATATCCAGCATCCGCATACTGGGCCATACCTTGATCGTTTTGAATGCCTTCGACCCCGCCGACGCGATCTTCAACAAGCGCTCGAATCGCTACTCCCACAAGCCCCGCCGGAGGATGGGCGAGCTGTACGTGCGCTCTTCGTTGTCGACATACCCTGCAGCTCTGACGTAGTGTACGTGTTCGGCGACTGTAGGTCGGGTCTGGTCGCGACGTTGCCGTTCATGGACCCGGGCCCGACGTTCACCCATGCGCGCAAGATGTTCCGTCAGGAGCTCAGCCCGCGCAGCCTCACCGCATACCACGGCGAAGTCGAGCGTGCATCCCGCCAGCTCGCCAAAGCGTTTGCTGCAAATGCGAACATTCCGGGCTTTGAGAAACACATTGACCAGTACGCATCTCCGTCTCCCCAACATGCGCATAACTCCAACTGTACATGCTACGTGCAGGACGCTCGGCAGGCTCTTCATGAGAGTATCGTCGGGGTACGTCGTCAAGGGCGACGACGACGAAGTCCTGCGGCCGATCCAGCAGCTCGCCAGCTTCGCGGCGGGCATCCTCGGCGGGACGTACTCCATCATCGACCGTCTGCCATTCCGTACGTCCAATCTCCTCCAACCCGCGCGCTTGCGCTCACTCCGTCCCACTGGCAGTGTGCTACCTGCCTCACTGGGCACCCGGGTCGAGCCTCCTGCGGCTCGCGGACCACTGGCGCGGCCGACTCTGGGAGATCGCGAACGGCACGGCGGAGCTCGTCCGCGAGGAACTGGTGCGCAACGTTTCACCCCCCTTCACAGGGATGCTCACGCACAGGACGCAGATGTCGGGCTCGCCGAGCACGTCCTTCATGGGTAACCTCTACGGGAACCCGCGGGGCGGCATGGACCTCGACGAGGCGCAGTTCAAGTTCATCGCCGTGACCATGTCTGCAGGTACGCCCCCTCCTCTCCTCTCCTATACCCCGTTGCCATGCGCTCATGCGGGGTCCCTCTGCCCAGGCGGCATGCTGCCACTCACTTCCTCCTCCCTCGGCTTCCTCGCCGCAATGGCACGCTTCCCCGCCGCCCAGAAACGCGCACAGGCGGAGCTCGACGCCCTCCTCGGCGGGAGCCGCCTCCCCACGCTCGCAGACCGCCCCGCGCTGCCGTATGTCTGCGCGCTCATCCTCGAGCTCTATCGCTGGGCGCCCGTCGCGCCACTCAGTGAGTGTCCTGCTGTACCTGCTGTACCTTTGGCGGGCTGTGTATGTTGACTGGTCGTTGCCAGTCGCGAGGAAGACGCTGGAGGACGACGAGATCGCGGGCTTGTGGATACCGAAGGGGGCGACGATTGTCGCGAATAACTGGTGAGCTGCATTATGTGACCGATGTATCAGGTCCAGCCAGGATCTCAAGCACCTGTGTGCAGGGCGATCTCGCGCGACCCCGAACGGTACCCGGATCCGCAGGTCTTCCGCCCCGAGCGCTTCCTCCCGCTTTTTGAGGACAGCGACGCAGAGAAGAGCGGCGAGGCTAGGCAAGACATCCTGGACCCGCGCTCGTATGCTTTCGGGTATGGTCGGAGGTGCGTGGTTGTCTCGTTCCCGAAGCTTAACGTCGACGGTGAACGCTGGCGGCATGCCAGGATATGCCCGGGGCTCGACTTCGCGGAGGCGATCCTCTTCGCGAACATCTCCCATATCCTCACTGTGTTCGACGTCGTCCCCACTGGCGACGCGCCGATCCTCACGCCGGATGGCGACGTGGCGCTGAAGACCGTCGGTGCCGCCGCGTACGTGGATCTCATAGCGGCTCGCGTGTGTATGTTGCAACTGATGGTCCTATCCCTTGAACCGACCAGACGCGTGGCGAGTGTGGATTGCACGCTGCGACCCCGTTCCGCAGACGCACTCGCGCTGCTCATGGACACGGCGGAGTCGTGAGGCCACTGTTGACTGAACTTGAGACTGACTTTGACAGGTTTGGCGTGGCGACCACCGCAGTGCTTACAACTTCACACAAGCAGACCTATCTGCCTCGACGTTCCTTGGTTCTTGTCGCTGACCAGATAAATTATGATATCCATTAAATGTACCCCCTCACTTCGCTATATCCCCTCCATTCGATCCGACCCCAATCCGTGGCAAGTCGAGAAAGGCTATCACTAGACCCAACCCATAGTCTACGGTATGGGGCGTACCCACAGCCCACCCTGACATTACACCCAATCCTTAGCTCGCAATCATACTGTTGAAGAGAGGGCGCGAAACTGACCTTCACGAATGCAGTGAACGCAGTGCTCGGCCAGACCTGCTCGATCCGCTGGCGGCCTTTGCCCTCCTTCCACTGCGGCGGGGGACGCGCGCCCACGGGGATCGCCTCGGGGACGAGCTCGAAGCCCGAGAAGCGCTGGAGGAGGCGGACGAGCATGAAGGACGCCTCGTTCAGCGCGAAGTTCTGGCCGGGGCACTGCACGCCGTCCCGGAGATATGAGCGTCCGCTCTTCCCTTCGCACCACACAGGTAGCGGGAAGACTCACCGATCGCGGGCCAGAGAGGAAGGGCACGAACATAGATGGTCGCTCCTCGACGCGCGCGAGCCGCTTGGGGTCGAGCCACCGGTCGGGGTCGAACTCGTCTGCGTCCTCGCCCCAGAGGTCCTTTCGCCGGTGGAGGGGAAGCGTCAGCCAGGTGACGCGTGCCTTGCCGGGGAGGTAGAGAGGGGGCTCGCCGTCTGCGGCCGGGAGGAGGACCTGATGCATGGAGTTTCGGATCCCCATGGGTGCGGGAGGGAAGAGGCGGAGGGTCTCGTTCAGGACGGCGTTCACTAGAAGGGAACAGGGAAGGTGAGTTGTAGGAGGGGTGAGAGGGGGGATGACGCACTGTAGGGCATCTTGCGAATGAGATCGTGCGTTGGGCTGCCGTTGGCCCCGCAGATGTCGAAAATCTCTTCGCGGAGACGCTTCGCAACTGCGGGGTATACCGTGAGTAGGTAGACCACGTATGTCAGAAGGCCGGCAGTCTAGAAAGTACAAATGATTGAACTAGAGTTGTGGGACGCAAGGCGAGGCTGTTTTACCGTGTCACGGCCTGCCATCAACACGTTGAGCAGGCCAAATCGGACTCTTTCCTCGTCTGTCAATAGCAACAGACCGGTTAGGTTGGGCATCAACGTCATAAGTGACACGAAGACATGCCTTGAGTGATCTCGACTAGATTCTCCAACATGGTGCGCTCAGCCCTCTGACGTTCGATCCCCTGCTCCCTCTCCCGCTTCTTCCTCTCCAGTGCTTGCTCAACAGTAGGTTTGACCCACTTCATGATGACGTCCACATGCGGCATTGTATGGTCGCCCTTGATTTCATACAGCGGGAAGAACGTGTTCAGCCGCCACCGAAGTGAGATGGTCACCTGGATCTCCTCAAATGCGTACAAGAATGTGCCGAGCTGGCCCTCCGTCGCTGCGCCCTTGGAGCCTATCATGGCCTTGTACGGAATCGGACGGGGGCCGCCGAGTGCATCGGGGGAGGTGCCCAGGAGGAATGAAGACGCAGCGTCGAGGGTAAAGCGGGCGAAGAGATCCTGGAGATCGATGGGCTCATGGGTTGACACAGAGGAAGAAAGGATGGAGAGTGCGCGGTCGGAGTGTTCCTGGAAGATGTCGAAGTCGGAGATACGCTCCTTGTTGAGGAAGGGTCGGATGAGGGCGCGTTCCTGCGGAGAAAAGTAAGTTATCCTCTTCTCATTAAGAATTCGTCCAGAGCTAGCGCATACGTACTCTTCTCCATTCTGTCCGATCGCTAATACAGTGCATTGTATCAGCCACCCTGAGCATTTGTATATAAACTTTGGCACGATGACACCCACGTTACGAAGACACCTCGACCGAGGAATGTTCCCCTGGAAGGAAGTCAATCACGATTCGAGAAGTAGAACCGATCGCACGCACATCTTCTCGGCGGCCTCCGCCCCACGCTCGAACGATTCGAACTGTATCTGGTGCACGGCACGCATGTGTAGGTCGTCGCGGGTTATGATCTATACGGCAGACATTTGAATTTTCGTTCTGCGTTCAAATCTGAACACTCACGTTGTCCTTCCAAAGGATGCGCGTATTGAGCGTGTCGACGCCATGCTCATCGAGCACTTCGCCCATGGCCTGCAAGATATATCCTTCTCGCAGGTCTTTGGCAAATCGCATCATGATGTCGAGGTTTCCCGGCCATTTGCCCTTCGCCCGGGGAATTGGTGTCGCTCCGAGTTGCCTAGCACGTCTGTCACTCTTCCAAACCGAGTACCAAGAAGTCACGGTTATCCAGACTGGAATGGATGAGATGTAAGCAAGGGTGGCTACAAGGCCTGCGCCAGAACTGCCGAATACGGCTGTGAGAAGGACATAGGTCAAGACGAACGGCGGCAGCAGCGTCTCTGCTACGCCGATGAGGAAGCGCGTCCGGTACCAGGTTGGTGGCAGTTCGAAGTTCATGGTCGTCGCTTCACAGCTCTGCAGCTTCCCAAGTGCGCTGTCGATTCAGACGAGATTGCAGACGAGCTGTTCAAGGACTGAGACTCAGTGAGAGACTCTGCAATTGTCAGCATCAGCGCCACAGAATGCCGCCTGATACCGAATCAGAGTCCTTAGTCACCTTAGTGAGATAAGTATCCTCCTCCAGCCTCCTCCTTCCTGATACGATCGTAGTTCTATCAATAAGAATCCATCAAGTCATCAGTTTGATCAGACCACCGGGGTGGCAGTGCATCACTGTAAGTAGTCGCATCGAGATTCGAGATACCTTCGTCAACTTGCCTTACCATTTATAGCCATGAACTGACGATGGAAGTACATACTACTGGACTGGGGATTGTGCAGAAGGCATTGAAGGCGGTGGCCGTAGAAGATTGAGAACTTACTACGCAATCAAGTTAAGTTGATATCTCATGTATTCTAATCAAACCCTCACGTGTTGAAGGTCTATTTAGTTCTCGGTCGTGTAGCAGCCACCGAGTGTGACCATGTGGAGGGTCTGATACTTACTCATAGTAGTAATGAGAGGCTTCTGGCTGCACAGTAGTGATAGACTGAATAAGGAAGGAGGACGGCTGTGATTGAGCGTCATCACCGCAATTCCGGGGCTCGCTTCAACCTCAGCGCCGACTGGAGATCGGATAAGTATAACATACTACTGACAGCGAGCGGCCGCAACGCGTTCTATACACCAAAGACAAGGATGATTCAAGTATCAGAAGTTTTACGGCACGGGTTCGTTACACCCACGCCAGCGTCGCTCGCCGTCTCAAAGCGTAAGCTGTTTCGAGCCTATCGGTGAACGGCGTCACCGGTTGCTCAGCCGCAACGGGCGGGACGGGTATGGAACCGCTCCTCGGCATCCGAGCGTTGTGTTCATATGTTTCAGCCAGGAGTTCAACCACACGTCGTTTCGGATCGGGTTTGGACCCCTCAGTGTGAACACTGGTGGTCGGTCGGTTTGTACAAGTGAAAATAAGTATGACCTTGATACAGTCCACAGACCGCTTACCAACAGCTCACTGACTGTAATATTTGTGCCTCCAAGCTCCGCGGACAAAAAACAAGTCAAAATCAGCGCAGCAGCGGAGAAATTTGAGAGAAGTAACCACGTTGTCACGTTGTCATCACGATGAACCCTTAGGCTGCTTGGGCGCGAACTGGGCGCGAATGCCTCCCGCCCCGTCGGCCTCAATGATGCACTTTCCATCAGTGCATGTATAATCACAATCTTGATATGCCGCGGGCACGGTGCTAGTGGATCAGCTTGCACCTTCTGGCCGGGGCATCGGAGCGCTGGCCCCCTCCGAGCTCCTCCTTTTTACGAACTGGACTCGTCTGCCAATCGCACCTTTCACTCCTCGGCCGTGCTTCTGTCACATACGCGCAGCCTGCACCCCGGTTCCCGCTGCAGCGCTTTAGGCTGCTAACAGTATTGACTTCCTTTCGCACTCCTTTTGACCACTCTCCTTTACCGAACCTCCGCAGAAATGTCGATGCACACACCTACCCTCTGGGCGCGGCTTTTTAGCCAAACCGCCCGGAGCAACTGGATGTGGAGACAATTCGTGAAGTACTGTGAGTGCCACTTCGTTCGATCGTACTCCTACTACCGGGAGACCCACCGGGCCCCGGTTCCAGACAGTAGCTGCCCAACATGCCCCCATGTATACTGAAACTTGCCTTTTCTGTTAGCCCGGTCTCATGTCATGTCCGTCCTCGAATCTGGGATTGTACGGGGCCAACTCCTCGTTGAGGACCATGAAGGCAAGCATGTCTACGGCGAGTCCGACTGTCAGCGCCCGGTTACGATGACCATCCGCTGCGACGACGTCTGGGCGCGCATTGTATTGTCCCTCGACATGGGCTGTGAGTCTTGCATTCATTTCGTGCTGGACTAGTGCTGAATAAGGTTCTGAGTAGTATCTGAGGCGTACATGAGCGGAGACTTCGACATCTCTAGCTTGAAGGACATGTTCGATGTATGTTCAGACCCTTCGATTGCCTAGTTTCAGGCGCTGACGGCGTCATTCCAGCTATGGATCGAGAACCGACACACTTTGACAGGTCTTACAACCCTATTGAACACTGTTACGTCCTACATGTCTGCCTTTGCTATCTTCGCCCTAGGCAAGCAGAAACCCTCAATGGCGCTGAAGAATGTGGTTAGTACACTGCTGTCGCGCTCATATTGCTCCCATGACTCACGTCTATCTGACATGCTCTCAGCAAGAGGCATATGACACCAGCAACGAGTTCTTCCAGTGTTTCCTCAGCTCCGAGATGATGTACAGTTGCGCCATCTGGAGCGATGCCGAGGGCGGCATCCGGGGTGACCTCACCTCGCGGGGCTCGCAACCGGACGACTTGCACAACGCACAGATCCGGAAGATCCACCATATCCTCCAGAATGCGCGCGTCAAGCCAGGGTATCGCCTGCTCGAGATCGGGACGGGCTGGGGCGCCATGTCAATCGAGGCCGCGAAGCTCGGCGCCATCGTCGACAGCGTCACTCTGTCTGTGCAGCAGAAGGTGATGACGGAGAAGCGAGCGGTGGAGGCGGGCGTCGCAGACCGTGTGCGCGTGCACCTGCTAGACTACCGTCAGCTGCCGGAGGACTTCAAGGGCCAGTTCGACTCGTTCGTGAGCTGCGAGATGGTCGAGGCGGTTGGACTGCGCGACCACCACACGTACTTCAAGGTGATCGACTGGGCGCTGAAGCCTGACCGCGGCGCAGCCTGCATCACGGCTACTGCCATGCCCGAGTTCCGCTACACAACCCTGCAGTAAGTGCGATTCTGCGGTAACGAGGAGGCGGTGTCTCACAAACTCTGCAGGCCAGATGACTTCGCGCGTCACTACCATTGGCCTAACACTTTCCTTCCAAATGCGACGTACTTCCCTATGGCCGCTCAGCAAGCCGTCCCCGGGCGCCTTATTCTTCACAGCGTCGAAGACCATGCGATGCGTATGTCTCTTGGCTTCAGTTGTACGGCGCCGACTAATGGATGATCAGACTATCCTCGCACGCTCCGGGAATGGGGCTACCGCCTAGAGAAGAACTTCCAGGGTGAGGTCGTCGAAAACCTGATCAAGGAGCACCCGCAGCTTGCCGACCCGAAGAGCCTCGAGGCGTTCCGCCGCAAGTGGTTTTACATGTTCGACTACGCCGCTGCGGGATACGCGAAGGCTTACACCGCTTTGAACTGCTGGACGTTCGCGCGACCGGTGAGTGGTCAGCTGTTGCACATGATGATTTGGAATGAACGAGTGCCATGCAGGAGTACCCGATTGACCGCTGCGACTAGAGTAGATCAGCCAAATCAGACCTGTGTAAGGCCTCCCTCCCCCTGGACTTGCCTTTGTAGTGAGACCGAGTTGTCTCCCTTTTTTGTTACCTTACATCCACTTCTCCACCTAGTTCACTGTCACTCGTTCATACTCACTGTTATCCCTTGTATCTTAACACTACGCTTTTCTAGATTACTGTATTGTTTTTTTCCAGTTATCGTTGTGCTTGGTTTGTGTACCCGTTTTCAATGGATTGTATACCCGAACATGTACCAGTGTCATTGCGAGTGCACGCTATGGGTGGTATCGTAGGTCTGGAGCGGTGAACTTTCGCAGGTATTGCTCGGTGCTGGAGGTGAAGCGTCCGCTGAAGGTGTCGGGAGAAGGGCTGAGCGCGGTGGCGGCTGTGCCAGGGCTGTGCGGCCTGTGCCGGTTCGGCTAGATGCAGATCTTGATGTCGATCGAACCCGGCCGTTTCCCGTTTTGGTAACTACCGCAGAACGCCCGTTGTTGGGCTCAGGTCTGTGACTTGAAGCTTCTGTCATATTGACAACGATGCACTACTTGATGTGAGCATCCCCATACGGTCTTCTCTCTTACTCAGTCCTGATGCCATCGCAGCAAACTTGGGGATTGTTGCTTCTCGTTGCTTCCAAGTTGCTTCTGGAGTGATTGATGTAAAAGCGACGCGAGCCTCGCGATTGATCATCGCGCCCACACGGCATCTTTGACTGGCCCATCTCCAATTTGTCTCCACTCTGTCCGGTCCGACCGCAGAGTCTATAGGTATGAGCGCTGTCCCACCCGCGTTTCGGGTTGTATCGTACACATTCGTGCAAATACATTATACAATCGCACCCCACCGCGCCGTCGACACATTTCGGGAACGCGTGACAGGAACGTTGCACGCGCGCCCTCAGAGGTCGTGGAATAGCCTCGTCGTCCGAGGAGTCGGGTGTTCACTCTCTTGCGCCCCCTCCTTCGAGTACTACTGTCCCTTCGCTTGCGCGCGACCAACTCGCGGCAGCGTCGACCTACAATCTTTCTTCAGGTTAACAATATGATGCTTGGATCGCAAGGATCCCAGCTAGAGCTCGTTGATCGTGACCCTTCGCGGTCTGACATCTCTCTTGTGCATCTAGGAGAGTCTCCGAGCTCCCGTTCCGACTTCACCCTCACGCCTGGCTCGCGCTCTGAATTCTCCTTTACCTCCCCAGGCTCTCAAGCTCAGTTTCCTCTCATCAAACATGATGCTGCACCTCTTCATGATGCCGAATTCGCCCCCAGGCGAAAGCTTGAGAGCACCGGCTCATCGCAGACCTCCCGGAAGGGGAAGGCATTCTGGATGATACTCTTCGCTCTGGTTATCTCGTTCTTCATGGTCGTGCTTGAAGGAGCAGCTGTGGGAAATGCATCACCCACAATCGCGAGTGACCTTGATATCTCCCAATTCGCATGGATTGGAACGGCGTATGGCCTATCATCCACTGCCCTTCTGCCTTTGAGCGGTGGACTGGCCCAGGTATTCCACCTCTGCATCATATGTAGATCAGTTTGCCCACATCATCCCCGACAGATCTTTGGTCGGCGACCAGTAATGCTCGTCTCTCTCGCGATATTTGCCGTAGGTGGCGCGCTTTCTGGCGCTTCCACAGGTTCAACAACTCTGTTTGCTGGTCGCACCGTCCAAGGTTTGGGTGGCGGGGGCGTACTGACATTGAGCTCAATTATACTGTCGGATATCGTCGCGCTCAACGAGCGTGGGCTGTACAACGGCATTCTTGGTCTGTCCGTGTCGTTTTCCTACGCTCTTATTGAGAACTTTCCGACTGACATGTACTACAGGGCTTGGAGTGCTGCGTCCGGTGTTGGTCCCGTAATTGGCGGATCATTTGCGCAAAATGGACACTGGCGCTGGCTTTTCTGTAAGTGCGACGCATGAGGTCGAAGTGACCTGTATCTTAAGCCAGCGACACCTCAGACATGAACATACCCTTCGCGGGTCTTGCTGCCGTGCTGGTACTGTTCTTTGTCAAACTCCCAACACCGCCGGGGAGTTTGAGGTCGAAGCTCGAACAGATAGACTGGATGTGAGTAGTGCACTCGGCCCGCTTTCCCGGCGCATGTTGATCTCTTGCACAGCGGGAATGCTCTCGTCATGGGGAGCACGACAGCTATTGTAATCGGAATGACATGGGGTGGTGTTGATTATGCCTGGTCTTCAGCGCAAGTTTTAGTCCCACTCATCATAGGTGGTGTTGGATTGGTACTATTCTTATTGTACGAGGCCCTGTGGGCAAGAAATCCTCTCGTGAGTGTATCGCGTCCGGAAATGTAGCCCTGCTGAATGAAGCCCAGATTCCCCTGTCTCTTATACTCAACCGCACTAGTATAAGCGGGTAAGTTCATGTTTTGCCTCGCATCTAGCCATGTCTAATCAATACTGGACTCCTCGCCAGGTTGATCCAGACCGGTCTCCTCTCTGTGCCTCTCACGGGGCTTATGTATTATCTCCCCGTGTACTACCAAGCCTGCATGCTCGCCTCGCCCATCCGCGCTGGCACGCTCGTCTTCGGCGTGGCATTCACCGTCGCGCCTACCACGATCGTCGCCGGAGCTATGATCACCGTCACGAAGCGCTACCGCCCACCAATATGGTTCGGCTGGGTCCTGCTCCTCGTCGGCCAAGGCCTCCTCACCACCCTCACTGCGACGAGCTCGAAGGCCACGTCCATCGGCTTCCAGATCCTCACCGGCATCGGAATCGGCGCCGTCTACAGCTCGACGTACTTCCCCGTCCTCGCCCCGCTGCCCGTTGAGCAAAATGCGCCTGCGCTCGCGCTCTACGTCTTCCTCAGGAGCTTTGCCCAAATCTGGGGCGTCGCCATCGGCGCGACTGTTCTCCAGAACCAACTCTCTTCTCGACTCCCACAGGCGTTCCTCGCGACGCTCCCTAGCGGCGCGAGCGTTGCCTACTCCGCGATCCCCGCTATCCCCGCTCTCGCGTCGCCGCTGAGGGAGGAAGTGCAGGCTGCGTTCGCTGGGAGCCTGGACGTGCTGTGGCGCGTGCAATGTGCGCTGTCTGCGATCGGCGCGTTTGCGAGTTTGTGGATGAAGGGCCTCCCGCTTCACACGGATACGGATAAGAAGTGGGACGTGACAGCGGCGGAGGGGGAGGATGAGAAGTAGGCAGCTGGGCCGCAGATGCTTGCGTTCGGATGTATCATATCTGACGTTGCTATTATCTTATTGTCGCGGTCATTCCTCCTCGAGCTTCAGGGTGGAGCGGCCTCGGGCTTACAATGAAGGCTGAATATCTCGGGCGACGGAATCATTGAAATGAATGATTCCATTCTCCGACCGTCTTCTGAGAATGTCATTTTATGGTCCATGCCAATTTGTAGCCCTTCCACATTCGCCGCTTTGCCCAACCTGGCGAATGGGTCAGGTCTATGTATCATCATATACGTTCGATCACAGACCCGCATCGCCGCAAGTGGACAGCGCTGACTGGTGACCGAATCGGCGGATTGTTGTGTAACTGCGTTTGCTTGCAACACGGCCTGGTACTAGTCAAGGCACAGTAAAAGACGAGAATGTCGCCAAACAGTGTATGACGTACAACGAGACCGCTGCGACAGCCAACCCTGCGTAAGAAGGCCCCTCCCTTCCCTCGGGAAGTGCCGGGGTAAATCATTGCATGCATGCCATTACGCCTGTAGCCAGTGAGTAGAGATACAACTTTGCTACAACACCTCATGACACCTTACATCTCTCTCATTCGTTCGTTCACAGCGGCCAAAAGCAAGAAGAAAGCGAGCACACCTCCACTCTAGCCCCCTTCACCCATCCGCCGTCTCACGCTCCAACAAGCTCCCTAAATTCCGATCCCCACTCGGGCGACTTCTTCATTCCCTCCACGAACACATCGAACTTCGGGCTCTGCCCTGGCGGGCTGATCCTGCTGAGCGCTGCGACGGCGCGGAGGGTGCTGCGCTGCAGCTCCGCGGCGCGCTCAAGGTCCTGCTTGACCGTGTCCTTGGTGACTGTCGCGCCCTTCATGCTCTTCTCGAGCGGGCCCGTGATCTCGTCGAGCCGCTGCGCGACCGCGGTCGGCGCGAGCTGCGAGAGCCGGAAGAGCATCATGTGGCAGATCACCTTGACCTCGTCCGAGTCGTCTGCGAGCCCCGCGAGTACGCGCCCGAGGAACTCGTGCAGGTCGAGTTTCGCCAGACACGTGTCGAGCTGCAAATGAGGGGTGAGCGGGGGGCGCGGGTGGCGAGTGAAGGGGGACGTACCAGCGTGTAGAGCGTCTCGTACGCGGTCTTGCGCGCCTCGAGGCCGTCGTCGACTCTGTGCGTCCAGGGCCCCATTTGGACGGTGCGGATGAGCTCCGGGTTGATGACCGTCTCCTTGTACAGGTTCGGGAGGATGATCTGCAGTTTGTCCCGGATCAGGTGGGGCTTCAGCCGAGCGGCAGAGTTGAGCGCAGACAGCGCTAGTCTCCGGACGGTCTGTGGGGGACGGTTGTTAGCGTCTATGCCACCGCGTAGTGTACCTGACAAGGGGCTCGTACCAGGTCTGGGTCGGCGACCAGTGCGAGGAAGTCCATGAGCACGGCGCTGAGCTGCTCGTCGTACGAGCTGGAGGTCTCCGCGAACGTGTACCGGATCGCGGAGATGACCGTTGCCCTCGACGCAGGGTTCGCATCGGTGATGCGTTCCTGTTCGACGTGTCAGCCCTGTTATAACCAATCCACCCGGCATTACTAGGTCCACTCACCTGCAGCTGCGGGAGGTACAGAGAAGAATGTGTAGTCGTCAGCTTGCCGAGACACGCCGCGGCGACGTTCCTCGTCGTCTCCTCAGAGTTATCTGAGTTCTCGAACAGCGGCACCCAGAGCAGATCCGCGACAGTCTCGAGCTGGCCATGTGAGCAGTGGGTGACAACTTCCTTCAGTGCATGCAGAGAAAGCAATCGTTTGGTAGGGTCGTTCTCGACCATCTTGACGATCACAGGGAGGAAGTGGTGGAGGTTGCCCACAGCGATGTTACCTTGTAATCTCGTGAGTCACCCACAATATCGACAGTGATGGCGTTAGACATACCCGCAGCGAACGAAGCAGCTGTCCGGATCTCCTCCTGCTCGGCGGCAAATCGCTGGATGACGCTGGTGAAAATGTTCTCTTGCAAGGACATGTCGCTGAGGAAGGTACATGAGATTCTTTCAAAGCTTCGACTACGGATTGGCTCACATGAAACGTCCGATCTCGCCCATCACGAGCAAACTCAACACAATCTGAGACGTCTTCGCTTTCGATGTGGGCTGACTTACAGTCAGTTCCAGTTTCGCCGAGCTCACTCGCTAGACATACCTTGAGATGTTTGGCAAACTCGGCGACCGTACCCGCTGCGATACCCTGCTGGGAAATCGCGACTTGCCCGATGCAGCGGGCCACATTCGCGTAGGAGGCGTCGGACTTCTGCGCCTTGTCGACTGAGATGACGAGGTTCGGTACGAGATGCGTGGCAACCTCCATGTCGGCCTGCACCAGCGCAGCGAAGAACGCCAGGACTGACTCAAATGCTGCGCCAGCAACGAGAGGAGAGTGGGCAATGTTGTAGATATCTGGAAGGAGCTCCCGTTCGACCTCTGGGTATGTATTTGCAGGAATTAGCTCCAAGAGCAGGGCGATATTCGAAACAGCCTGTGACATGAGCGAGATATCCGAGATGGAGATGTAAGATTTGAGCGTAGGGGTGACGGTTGTGGGGAGATCTGCTGGGACAGTGTTGTACCTAAAGACCAAGGCAAGGCCGATGAGACGAATGTAGAGGATGCTCGAACGCAGTCGCACTCACCGCCTCAACAGGGCATCCAAGCACGTGAACATATCACTCTTCCCGACACGACCGCTCTTCTTCAACAGCGTCAAGAGCCAATTCACACAGCCGTTTACCCAGTTATCGTCGATCTCGATCTCCTTCGCCACTCGTGTGACCACAAGCACGGCGCCCTCCGTCCGGCCGGTGGTCCTGCACATCGCATCCCACTCCTTTCTCGGCTTCGTCTTCATGATCTCCGTCGCACACACCCACAAGTCACCAATGCAGTTCTCTGTACACCCCCTTACCTCCGCATCTGTGTCATGGTTACCGAGCCTCGCCACTGCTTCGTTGTAGACGACGTCAACCCAGTCACCTCCCTTGACCGGACGCATAGTGTTCAGGAGCGACGAGAAGACGCGGAATGCCTCGGATGCAATCCGTGGGTGCTTCTCTCCGAGCGACTTGAGCAACACCGGCAAGATGCTGTCCAGCGAGGCCGTGAATGTACCGGGAGTATGTGTCGAGAAGAACAGTCCGACGAAGGACATACACATGATCTGCAGCGGCGCAGCATTGGTCTTACTCGATTGCAGCAGGACAGCCTTGCTCGTCGTGATGATCTGCGTAGAATACGAGGACAAGGATTTTGGAACGACCGTGAGTAGGGTGTGCAAGAGCGAGAAGCCAGCCTGGAGGGTAGCGGGTGACGTCTTCGGCGACTTGAGCTGGCTGAGCAGTGCTTTGGCGAATGATGACACCTGCGAGCGTAGCAGAGTGTACGGTGTTTCTTCCACCTCCATACCTTCGTCTGCCCGTTTTCGCTTCCCACCGATAGTGGCCGCATCGTTCTGCTGTGCACTAGTTCCGTACACGCGCGTTTGCTGCAAAAGCACGCTATACGTCGACCACACTTCAACGCGAACCGTCTCCTCGCGATCACCGAAACGGGAGATCAGCACCGGCGACACCTCCTTGTAGAGCGTGGTTAGTAGCTCCGGACGCGTTGCGATGATAGCACCCAGCAGCTTTGTCGCGGATCTCCGGACCTTGTACGACATGTCCTCGTCGTCAGAATACCTGATTGGACGACATGAATGAGAACGTGCGCGCTCAGTTACGTTACCAGGACATACTGATCATCAAGTTCGGCTTCGTCATCATCATCGTCCGCCATTTCTTCGTCCTCATCATCGTCTCCACCTGCGTAGTTCTGTGACACATGAGCGAATGCAGAGAGACACAGAGAATTTGCTTACAGGATCATACTTGATGAACTGAGTCCCGACGTGTATGATAGAAGACAGGAACGGTGTGATCTCTGTGGGACACCGCAGGACTAGCGCTTCCAGTGCCTGCGAGGACTCAGTCTATTCTCTCTTGCCTTGGCTAATATTCGGTACACACCTGAAGAGCGCTTTCTTGGAGTTCCTCGTCCTCACGCTGCAGCGCCTTGTTAGTCGCAGGAACTATCTGCCCTAGTACAGGCTCTATTTGATGTGGCGTATGACGCGCGATCGCAGCCACAAGTTGCACAGTCGTACGCTGCGTTTCCAGGTTCGCGGACGGTGCAAGACCGGGAAGCACCTTCTCCGACAATAGTTTCTGGAAGAGCTCGGCATGCGTACTCGGAAGGAACTGCGCGAGAGTCGTGATTGCCCGTTTGCGAACGGCCGCTCGAGAGTGGGAAAGCATTGGCGTGAGCACGGTCAAGGGTTGCGGCTGCAGGTCCGGATTTCCTAGGTACCCTGGGAAGCGAGTGATCAAGATGGATAGAATGGAAAGCGTCTCAAGGAGCGTGTCTGGTGGTGTGTCGGGCTGTGAAATGATTGGAATTCGCGTCGCTTTCCATGACCGCTGCAGAGATTCGCTCGCACGGACGTACCTTGGACAATTGCGTTAGCAGCTTGGGCGCGAGCTTCTCACACGCCTTTGACGCGATTCTGCCTTCGGGGGTAGCTCAGACGTAATTGTCTTCAAGGCTGTTCAAATTGTGAGAGATGATCCGGCATAAGGAGAGTCGGTCTGACCCAAGCTCGAGATGTCGCGCAGCTCATCGTCCTTGCCAGACGAAAAGTCAATGAGTCGATCCACAACATATTCCATCTGGGATTCTCGGATGATCTTGATGAGCTGACCCAGGCTGAGCAATCATGAGGGTTCATCTAGCGTGTCCACCGATGAACGAACATACCACTTCACCGCCTGATTCTTCACCTCAGAAATCTTATCCTCCACAAGAGCCAGGACCTGGCGCAAGACCTTGGTCTCCGTGGGCTCATCGCCAAGGAACGTGTTTGGATCTTCCTTGATCGCAACCAGGAGGTCATTGAGACCCATGTAACTATAGCCAACGCAATGAGCGATGTACAGACGCGTCGCCTCCTGGGCACCATACCGGAAGTCCTGGTCGGAGGACTGCATCTGAGTGGCAGCATTCGCGTCAGTTGCTGCAGATCGAGGACAATTGCGAATTACCTTTTCGATGAGCCCATTCATGATGTATGTCTTCGTCATGCTGGGCGTAGAGTGAAAGGAACGAAGGAATGGGGGAGTGGTGGAATGGACTTGAGTTCCGCTCGAGTGCGAGCTTCGAGGCTGGGGCGCGCCTTCGCTTAGTGCACGTGATGCAATTCTGGAGCATTTCAGCCACCGGCGCGTCTGCGAGGGACCGACTTGGGGGCGAACGACCGTATCGTTCTCTAAGTCTTCCCCGCGCTCACTACTGCTTGCCCACACGTTGTCTTAGACTGTGGACTATGACGGAAATTACCTTTCAATGTCCCAACATCTCGTACTATGAGATGAACTGCTGCACTCTGCAGACTCGGAGAGGCACTGGCGTGCCGCGACGTGTCTAGACTCGAATCTGGTACTTGCACCGTCCAGCTTACTAGCATAGCATGGATATGCCTATACGCCTGCCGACTTCTCCCAGCTTTTGCAAAAGCTGTATGAACACAGGTCAACGGCAGCCTTCCCTCTGGCGTTGGGCTTTCTAGGTATCATGAACACTGCCATACACAAGGCTATCCAAACCTTGTACGGTGCTTCAAGCTTCGTGCGTCTGGAGGCGTCTGGCGCTTTGCTTTATGAATACATATCACGGCCACCTCAAGGCCACCCTAGGATCATCAAACCACTCAGAAGCAAGGCAAAAGCAAGGTCAGGAGCGCTCGCCACTGAGTCGCCAGTGGCGTCCCTCTCCATGCAAGCCTATGTACATGTCCGGGCAACACGCAGCGTCTCTCGCTCTGCTCACCAGCTGTAAGTCTACTGTGACCTCCCTCCCTTACCTCTGTCAGCTGACGGGCGGGCTCAAGCGGCACGCGAACCTCGCGGTTACCTCGAGGCGTACGCATTCAGCCGGCTTTGTTATGTGCCTCACAAAGGGCCTTCTATATCGGGCGTCTGAAGATCGTATCGCATTGTGGCTTCGCGCGCTTGGCCACAGGATAACAATGGTCGATTGGGCCACACGTTGCTGGTTACAGATATAAAGCAAGTGTCCCTCCGTGCTCTTGTCCACATCTCACTTCGCCCTGTCACCCAGCCCCGTGGACTTGATCCGGCGCATCGCCATCACTTTCGCCACTGGTCATTATCTCTGACGCCTTGGGTCCTTTCCATTATCTCCGAGTCTCTGCGCCCTCACGCCACATCAGTTCAAACACAATCGCCAGTTCATCGGGAGCCACAGTCGCCGATCGTAGGCCGTACCGAGGAAACTTAACACAAACATGTCTATGATAACCCGCGTCAGTACTGGGATCGGTTACCTCCAAACCGGAAGCCCCATCAGGCTCCATAGAAGAGAGAGAGATAGCAGTGCCAGCATGAGCGGCGGAGGATCCGAGTCGGAATCCGATCTCACAGAACTATCGGACGATGAGGAGGACGTTGTGCCCGAGCCAGAATCCTCTCCCGCAGAGGAGTCTGAATACGAAGAATTCGAATCTGATGGCGAGCAGTCTGCGTACGATTACCTGAACGCGCCACTGCTCGACTACGAGTTCGAGGTATGTGGCGCCGAACGATACAACGGTCCAGAACGAAACTGATCAGTGGTTTACAGCGCGGAGAATCCGTCTGGGTGTATGCATATGACGGGTGGTATTTCGGCAGCGTCATGAGGCGAGCGGAGACACCTGAAAGACCGAAGGTGGGCGAATCCGTCAGCAACTTAGACAGTGTCTGACATCTCTCTTGCAGGTCATGCAATACAGAGTACTCTTCCGCCGATATGTGAGGATACAGAAAGATTTCGCGCCCATGGACGGGACGATCAAACCCGACACACCACGGATGCGACAAATGCTGCGTGTAGCGAAGTTCCTGCAGTGATCATCCATGCCTGACTGGAATGCCTTCACTTCTGTTCCGCCTTCACCCATCCGTGGCGCCACCCGGGATTGGATGCCTTCCCGCCCGCGACTCTCGGATGACTCTTGTGCCCCCCGAGACTGCATCAATGGTGTTGACTCTAATACCTTATGACCGATGTATCATCACACATGTAGCATACTGAATCGCGAATTGTATGATCGATGTTGATAATTGAGAAGTGGACATGTCCATGGTTCCATGTATGCGAATGTAAGTGAGGATGCAACGTTCACATTCGTCCTCGGCTCCGGATGTGAATTTAGGTACGGATATGTTCATCCACAATGCCTCTGAGTCGGATATGTATGGCCTAAGTTCTTCGAAAATGGGCCCCACTAACCGTATCATACTTGGTGTGTTGAGTCGGGTTCGGATGTGGCCAGTTCAGGTTCAAATGCGGATTTGAATGCGGATGCCTCGATAGCCTGGGTCAGTAACCCGATGCTCGAGGCTGATCTGGACGAGGGCGACGGAAGGAGAGTGCGCGGAAGAAGTCCCGGAGCAAAGAGACTTGCCTGTTCGGGTGACCTGGGAGGTGACGTCAATGACCAATCCGCGCGCCCACTGTGCCATCCGCTCCCCCCGCTGTACAGCTTATAACCAGCGTCGCCCTTCTCGCTTTCCCCCATTACAACCATCTCTGCATCTTTATCTGCACTTCACTCTTATCATTTCGAAGAACTACACGTCGTCCAGCATGAGTCTCCTGCAAGACGTCCTCCGCACCCAAACTATCGATCAGAACGGGAACACGTTCTCGATCACGGAACGTCTGCAGACGCAGCGTTCAGACCAAGAGAGCGACGATGAGATAGTCGGCGTGGTGCGTATACATTGACATGTAGTCCGGCTATGTGTGTTGATCAGCCACGCTTGTTAGGTCTCTGCGCCTGGCACTCGCCCCGCGTCGCGAACTCCTTCACGTCCATCGTCCCCGGGCCCTCGGAGCGCTGCTCGTCGGCCGTACCAGGCGGTGTCTTTGTCGACGACATTGCCGAGTGACCCTCTAAGGGCGCTCCCGACGGACCTTTCCCAGCGCATCTTCGCGCAGCTGTCGATCAGGGACCTCGCGCGCTGCTCGCGGGTATCCAAGAAGTGGAATAGGAGTCAGACACTGAACTATGGTACGGTGTATCCTTGCACTCGCATTTAGGTCAAGTACTGACAATTGGATTCAGTCTGGTTCCAGCATTATCGCAAGGAGAACTTCCACGACGATAGTTTGCCGCCTGGCAAGTGGACGAAGCGCGAATCGAAGCAGAACTGGGTATGTACCACCTACACTACAAAACGCCCGGCCCGTGCTCACTTTCGCATGTAGCGGACAACCTACCTCCAGACAGTTGCCTCTCGCGATTCCGACACGCTTGGGCCCGTCTACCACTCGTACTCCGGCCGGTCCACCCCAGGGGGTTCCGGCGCGCAGACGCCACGCGAGCTGCGCGAAGACAAGTGGCGCTCGGAGACCGAGGGTGAGGCACGTCCGTCGAAGAATGAGATGCGCGAGATGTACAAGGAGCTGAAGGGCCGGAAGGCCAAGAGCAAGTTCAATGTCGGCGCTGGCGCCGGCGTGCGTGATAGGGGTGGATGGGCAGAAGGTGGTGAGGAAGGCCTGTACGAGTAGGAGCCTGTAGAACGCGTGCTCTGGCTCATGTACGATGCGGAACTGGTATATATATCATATGTACACATACAAGATTAACTGTGTCTTTGTGTGGGTGCCGCCGGACAGAATACTTGAGGATCACCCGTGCGGCCGGATCTACTCCAGCTACTTAGCGAGACGGCATCTTCACGATGGTGCTACTTATGTAAGTATGCTCTCGCAAGCATAGCGTCGATGCCGTATGTTAGTCACGCTGTTAGTCCATGGAGGTATTGCGACCGTAACTCTAGGAGCATGCATTCCAAGTTCCGAGGCCATGAAGGACACAACAGGATCGATCCAATACCACGCCTCTGGGGTATAGCCTTGAATGAGGCCGTAGTGCCACTCTGCAGACATCGTCCAGTCAGCCGAAATTCGACCGGGCTCACTAGCAGAGACCCACCGACCGTAGCTCGACTTAACTCGACTGTGCTCAGAGCACTGCCGATGACAGGAGCGCGGGAATCGACTTAGGACATCGTTATGACATGCCGGACGTACACCATGATCCAGCAAACCCGGCGGTTGCTGAAGACTAAGGTTTCTGAGACCCGGGTCCGTGGATGACACTACTTAGTAGCGGTGCCGACAAGCTCGACGGATCAGGCCTCAGGGCCTTCTTCCCCGCTACTTGCCAGCGCCGAAACCTTCCTAAACAGAAGCGCAGTCATCAAGGACGGAACGTAATGGTGTTGCCATCGAATTCGAAGGCCAGCACGAGAAGGACTTTGTTTGAGCCCCATCTCGAAGTCAAACACATGCATCAGAGGCAAACCTTGTAGCATAGCTATTAGCACAGCGCCGTGCCACGACCACCTTCTGGCGAGATATCTCCGGCGTGCTATCTTTGCCATGAATGTTTGTCACTGGCAGCTCTGTCGCTGCGGAAATGATCATGTCTTCGTTCTGACCTTCAGAACCCTAATTAATGATTTCAGTGCACGCCCATTTCTGGCAGTGTAAGGCAGTCACCTGTAGCCTTCGTCACCGGAAGTTCACAGACGCTATGGTGAGGGCAGGTTAGAGGTGTCCCGGGATTGTGTACATATTCGCCCTTTGGGTTCCACGTTTGCCAGTCCGCGGATGTCGTTGAAGGCGGCCTATTGAGGCATGATGCGGCGTGTACTTAGTGCACAACTACTAGTAGCACTTCCAGGTTCAGAGCGGTAAACAATAACATGGATGAATAAGAATGATGAAGTGACAATGATTGCTTAGCCAACAAGCCATGACAAGAATCCTGCGCTCGTGGAAGACTTCCCGGTAACATGGAGACGCATACACGACAATCGTGAGACTTAGCGTCGTTGGGCGGCGAATATGTAGCACAATGCCGGTAGCCGGGCACGAAGAACGATTGGAGTCTTGACAATTGAGCAAGTCGAGTGCAATGCAAGCGTACTAGTGCGCTTTGGGTGATTCTACATATGCGTTTCTTCTCAGAGCAGAGACATCGTCACAGAGGGCTTGAACAGTTACATACAACATTTCTTGAATGCACTCGCTCAAGATGACAACCTGAAGGACCTAAGTCGCCGCAGTCACGGTGTACATGCACTGTGCAGTGTGCTGCGTCTATCATGATTCACGACCGAATTATGACTCGGCCAGAGGAAAGCATCCAGCGTCCAGATTCCCGGCGCGGCAGAGTAGTCACGGCAGAGAGACGGGCGATGCGATGGACAGCATGTAGCCTGCCAGTGGGTAAGAACTTGAACGTGCGTGGTGGCGAGTTCCCGAAAAGGCAAGGTACCAACTGAGCGCCACCGGTGGCGGGCACGATGATTGGCTGTTGGCTCGCAACTCGGAGCACGTTGCTGCCAGTGACCAAACGGAGGCATTCAGCCAGATCTTGTTTAAGTCGGCGGCATGGACGGACGACTACAGGGTCCCGTCAGACGCAAACACCGCCTGCGGACTGTCCTGGCATTATGTACTTAAACATCATGCTAAGCCATCAACCGCCGCCAATTTCACAGAGGATTGAACCACTCTTTCCAGTGGTACCTAACCAACCCAACACGGTGAACCATGTTCTCCGCCCTCAGAACAGAAGAGGGACTCGGCGAGGAGCTTGAAGATGGCCAACCCACCGCAACCTACTATACGCTCGATGAGGAGCGTCGTCGTGCACTCGCCAATGTCGATAATGCCAACTTCAGGTTAGTGCTGGAAGCTTCGTGTTCACCACAGCTAACGGGGCGCATAGCTGGTTTCACGTAAAGGTGTCTATAGTCACAGGCGTCGGCTTTTTTACGGACGCGTAGGTGTTGCTCACATTACTTTGAGCTGAGGCTACTATGTACTGATATGCTCATTCTACTTCAGTTACGATATTTTCGCCATCAGCATCGCGGCGCAAATGCTGGGCTACCTATATGGCGGGAATGGATCTGGTCTATCACGCGCCCTGACCCAAAATCAGGCACTCGGCGTGAAGGTCGCGACCCCCATTGGAAGCATCTTCGGCCAACTGGTATTTGGTTGGTTAGCAGACTTGGTAGGCCGTAAGCGAATGTGTAAGTCCCGTCCCACTATCCTTGCGCAAGCATGCGAAGAAGCAGGACTAAATGCCCGCGCATTTACACAGACGGGATAGAGCTCATGGTCATAATTGTTTCGACTTTCAGTCAAGCTGTCGCCGGTCAGGCCGAGGCTGTAAACATACTGGGTGTCATTGTTGTCTGGAGGTTCATTGTTAGTAGTGGTTCATTCTGGTGGGCGCTGTGCTCAACTATATCACTGACATCTCGCCGCAGATGGGCGTTGGTATTGGTGGCGACTATCCCCTCTCTGCCGTCATCTCCTCCGAGTTCGCCTCCACACGCAACCGTGGCCGGCTTATGACGGCTGTCTTCGCCAATCAAGGATGGGGTCAGCTCAGTAAGTTGTCAAAGCCTTAACTTTCCAACGCTCTGTCTCACCGCTTTCGCAGCCAGCTCTATCGTTTCATACATCGCCGTCGTTTCCGGGAAGCAGGCACTTCTGGGCGACAGTGTCAACAACATGAAATCCATTGACTATATGTGGCGTTTAATCATCGGTCTCGGCTGCGTTCCCGGTGTCATCGCCCTCTACTTCCGGTTGACCATCCCCGAGACGCCCCGTTTTACCATGGACATCGAGCGCAACCTCCGGCAGGCCGTGCTGGACATCGATAACCTCCTCATAAGGGACTCCTACTGGGTCGACCCCGACATTGCCGTGCAGCGTGTGAATGCACCCAAAAGATCCAATCGCGACTTCTTCCATTATTTTAGCAAGTGGGAGAACGCACGTCAGTTGGTGGGCTGCGCGTACTCCTGGTTCGCTCTTGATGTGCGTGCCATACCTGTCTACAGGGCCAGCCGCTCGTTCTGACATTCCCCCGTAGATCGCATTTTACGGTCTCATATTGAACAACAACACCATCTTGACTTCGATTCCCAGCGTTACTTGCGACAACACAGAATGTGTATATCACGAACTCCGCAAAATCTGCATCGGCAACATCATCCTTTCCGTCGCTGGACTCATTCCCGGCTACTGGATGACCTTCTTGTTCATCGACAGATGGGGCCGCAAGCCGATTCAGCTCATGGGCTTCATCGTGCTCACAGCGCTGTTCATCATCATGGGTGCGCTTATCCAGGCTCTGTTGTAACATGCAGCGTTCTCACCACGGATGACAGGGTTCGGATATGAGGCGCTGATGAAGACAGGCCCGGGTCAAAAGGCGTTCATTTTCCTCTACTGCTTGGCAAATTTCTTTTGGAACTTCGGGCCAAACACGACGACGTTCATCATCCCCGGCGAGGCGTTCCCGACACGCTACCGCTCAACTGCGCACGGCATCTCCGCAGCGAGCGGTAAGTTCGGCGCGGTCATCTCGCAGGTCGGCTTTGGTTTGTTGGCGAGCAAAGGCGGGGCTCCGGGGAGTGACGTCTATCTGGGTCATGTGTCAGTGCCGTCTCTCACTCGTCTGGCATTGATTGTGCGCTAATGCATGTGCAAACTTGCAGTCTCGAGATCCTCGCACTCTTCATGGTGACAGGCGTGTTCTCCACGCTGCTCATCAAGGAGACGAACCAGCGGACACTCGAGGAGATCTCGAACGAGGACCAGAGGGGCTTTGTGCGCGGCACCGTCCCTCTGGCACAATTGTAGGCATCCGCAAATCCTGCACGACCTGCTTTGCCTGTCGACCTATATTACTTTCGTCCTCGCAGCGTTCACACATCTTGCTTAACTTACCAGTGCTACAGCTTATACCCTGCATATCACCTTATACTCCTGACTGGACTATGGTTGGACTAAGTTATTCGCTGCTGCTATGGACACTACATTTATATTGTTCTCACTTCTCCTGTATCTGCGATGTATTCCTGGATCCTGTTGTATCAATCAGCATGTGCGTTGTGCCCCATTTACCGAGCCATTACTCCAATCTCAGACTTGCCAGTCTAAGCGTTCAGACTAAGCATCCGACAGCATCGAGCTTCACGCTGGGAAAGACACAGGATCCTTACAGCGGTTTTCAGAACTATGCGGAATCGCGAGAAAAACGAAAACGCACCTCGGGCACTGGGCCAGCGCCCCGAGCCACGATTAGATTAGATAGTGGCCAAATCTGGAAGTGATAAGCTAGGCCATTTCGGTGAGCAGGCATACGAAATCATAGTTGTTACAAGTAGATGACAACAAGATGGCAGCGAGCTACGCCGACGCACCAATGCAGCAGGAAAAACGGCGGAAAAGTAGAGCTCACAATACGCGGCACGCGATGTATATGATATAGCATATATAGTATGGGTAGCTGATTATGTAAACAACATACAGTAAGTACGAACGACTCAGTTGCTCTAACGTAAGTAGTACATATACATTCAGTCCGCGAACAAGATCTTCTGACTTTCAGACATGAATGAATGAAATCCGGAGCGAAGCAGCACGTCGAGCAGGACCCATTCTGTGATGAATTGATAATGAATGTAAGCATACTCTATTGTTGTTCATGGCAAGGGCAATGTTGTGCACAATGGGTGTTGCGACGAGGGTAAATGCGAAGCACAAATAGCTTTACACACATCTTTGGCTGTCAAAATTACGGTCCAGCGCGAGGACTATTGCTAGATGAGTTCTGTTGATTTTTCGAGTAATTATGATCAAGTGGTTCTATCCGAGGCTAAAGTGAATGGATGGGGCAAATATGTCAGACCTGTGCATGCCTTATTTACATACCCTTCCCATTTTTGTTCACAGTCGGCTTCACCCTGAAGCTTGTTACATCGCTCGCTCGGAGAGGCGGGACGCGCAGCGTCGTATCAATCGAGTACATAATGACTTCCAGATTTGGCCACTATCTAATCTAATCGTGGCTCGGGGCGCTGGCCCAGTGCCCGAGGTGCGTTTTCGTTTTTCTCGCGATTCCGCATAGTTCTGAAAACCGCTGTAAAGCGCGTAGACTTTCGTATCTCCGCATCCCCAGCTGCGAAGCCGGCACAGCGGCTCGGACAACCGTCCGAAAAGACGCGCCAGCTTGAAGCCAACACGACTAGAGTCATCATTGAGTCGAAAGGATTCGACGGCATCTGGGCTTTTCGTTGACGGGGATACTGTACGAAGTCGCCAGGACTGGCGCTAGATGTGCTGACATTCCCGAGGGCTCTCATCAAGGAAAGCGTGCATCATTAGATGGGAACATGAGAGTACATACATACACAAAGGGGTTTTCTCGACACTCCGAATGTCTGCCATCCAGTCGACCGACGACTGCATGACACGGTACATCGACTATGAGGGAGGTGGATAAGCGTCTTGCAACGCAGAGACAAGGTCTCGCAGTCTTGAAGCAGGTACGAGCATCATCCGCCCGCCCATGTCTAGCCCGAACCCGTTTTCCTCACGTGGTTTAGTATTTGTGAAGTTGTAATCGAGTGAATGCACAGCGATCTTGCAGATGAATGAGTTAAGGACGAGAAGGCAGAAAATGGTGGTACGCACCTTTTGTATTTGCTCGTCCTCTGGATGGAAGGGGTATACCCCACGCGACGGGGGTTGTTGTGCGGTCTGCTTTTGTCGCTTGGAGCGCGAGGCAGGTCCCTGCAGCTCAGCCTCTTCCTCCGGCGAGAGACGGTATATCCGCGATATAATGAGTAGGTGTGTGAAGTTGTATGGTTCGTTCTGCGAACATCCCGAGCGGTGAGGACAGCGATGTAAAGAAGATATGTCCGCACGCACATCATCCAGAGCCCATTGAATCTCGTCCGCGAGCATGCGATACATGTGCGGCATGATCTGCACGGGCATGTTGATGAGTCTCTCGGAGAAGACAAACCCGACGTGATTTGAGGACGCGGGATTGAGCAGAGTTTGGAGGGTGCCATGAAAGGCAGGATCGGCCGAAGATTTGGTCAGCGCGTACTCCGTCAATGCTTTGATCGAGGGATGGTTCTGTACGCCGCATGAGGTTCGTCAACGTCAACCGAACATCAGGCTCTCCACGGAGGTAGACATACTTGGTGGACTCGCATATTGAGAACGGTCAGGACGGCGTACGGATCGCTCTCCCGCCCATCGCACTTGACGGTAGTGCCGACAAGAGGCTGCGAGAGGATGAGGTCCGCGAGGTCGTTGACATGCAGAGGCTCTGCATCGCCCTGCAAGAGCTGCGTAGCAAGCCGCTTGAGGGCGAGGTAATCGACATCCGGGTGCGGATCGAAAAACTCGAAGTCGACGTCCACGAGGCTCTACTGGCCCGCATTCCGCGCCGTGAGCTTATCGCGCCGGCAAAATGGGGAGGCGGGGGAGGGGCACCTACGCGTTCGCTGGCGTCCTCGTTGTCCGAGTCGAGCTCCGGGTCAGGTGCGAGCGACTTGCGTTTCGCCATGGGCGTCGAGGGAGAGGGCAGGCGCAAAACTCAGCGGCGGGCGCAGCGTGACCATGTCGCGCGCCGAGCTCCGTGCGTGCCTCCGCGCCCGCGTCCTCCGCCCTGCGCTGTCTATTACATACCGCGAGGCCTCGCCCCCTATCGGCAGCGATATAAAGCCGTCCATCCTCCAGATATGCACTCATACCCTCTGCTCGTCTCACTATCGCCTCTGCGGGCGCAGTCCCAACGATGTCGCTCAGACTGGCTTGCAGGCGACTCGGACACCCTCGGACGACCTGGCCGCATGTATTCACGCCTGTACGAACACTTGTAACATCACCGCGACCTGTTGAATCATCGCCGCGATTGTACCGAGCTGGTCTGGTTGCTGGGGGCGTCCTGACCGCCTCCCTTGTCCTCGGGAATGTCTGGGGCCCTGTGCACGCAGATGCCCCGGTCGCAGAGGCCGAGAAGGCTCCCGGGAAGCCGCAGAAGCCTCTGTCTTCTCTCATACGGTCGTATGTCGTGTATTCTATGTGTTCTATACCCGCTCTCGTAGACTGGGCCCCGTCGATACTCGCGACATTGACGACGATCCCCGGGCTTAAGCAAGTCACGGAGGCGATCGTGAGGGTCACCTTCTTCGACCAGGTGCGCGACTTGCGTTGCGAAGAGCGACTGTTCGATGACCGCATCCATTGTTCAGTTCGTGGGAGGAGACACCGCGGAGGACTGTCTGCCCCTCCTCGAGCAGCTGCGCGCCGAGGGTAAGGGCTGCCTGTTCGCATACAGCGTCGAGGTCGATGAGGCGGAGGCTGCCGGCAACTCCAAGGAGCGTGCGGCGGCGGCGAAGGAGGCCGTCAGACAGATCTTCCGAGAAACGCTGCACTGCATAGACGTCGGCGCCAGCTTCGAGGACAAGCATGCAAGCAGCGCGGACGGCGTGAAGGGGCGCAAGACGTGGGTCGCGATCAAGCTGGTGTGTGCTCCGTGTGGTGTCTCGTGCTGCCGTTTTACGAGTCATCTCGTTGTCTTCCTTCGTAGACCGCGATGGTGCCCCGCGCAGAGACCTTGCGCAATTTCTCGAAGTACTTAGTTGCGACGCGACGTTCATCCTCACCGGCTATTCTCTTCCCTGGTCAACCGCACCCGAACGACCTAGCTGTCCTCGCCTTCCCCACAGGCCCGAAGGGCTCACTTTCTCAGGAGGATATCGAGGACCTAGCACAGTTGCGTGATGATTTGCGAGCGATCTGTAAGAAGGCACAGGAGCGGGGCGTCAAGATCATCATGGACGCTGAATACAGGTCGGTTGACTGCTTAGACTGCGCGTGATCTCGCTAATACATTTCGTTGTCTACCAGCTGGTACCAAGTACGTCCCTAGGTCCGGCGGCCACTACGCTCGCTGAACGCGATTTGCCCAGCCCGCAGTAGATGCCTTTCTGCTTTCTCTCCAACGAGAGTTCAACGCGCTCCCTCGCCGCTCATCTTGGTTCAGCAAGTCTCCCGCTCCAGTCACAATCCAGCCGGTCATCTACCAGACTTACCAGGCGTACCTGAGACGGTGTGTAAGTTCTCTTACGGCATGACCTTTTCACTGATTGCCGTCACAGAACTCCTGAATATCTGAAGCACAGCATCGCGGCCGCCCACGCGGAGGGCTACGCGCTCGGCGCGAAGCTCGTCCGTGGTGCGTACCACCCACACGAGCTCGCCGCCCACGCCTCTGCGTCCGCCTCCTCAGGGGCCTCTGTCGAAGGCTTCGGCGACGCCAGCGGCCTGGGGATCTCCCCAGACCGCGAGCCGCCCGTGTGGCTCACGAAGGCTGAGACGGACGCGTGCTACGACGCGTGTGCGGCGCTGTTGCTGGACGAGGTGCGCAAGGACGTGAAGCGCGGGGTCCCGGGCGTCGGCGTGCTCTTTGGCACGCATAATTGGAAGAGCGTGGGCGGTATTTTGGAGGGGATGGAGAAGCTCGGGTTGGCGAAGCGTGTGGACGGCGGCGCGGGTGTGCTGTATGTGCCTGATGCGGTTGCGGAGAGGATCGCGATGGGGCAGCTGTACGGTGAGTGGTCGATGGTAGGCTCCGGCTCGAGAGGGTGTTGGGCTGATGGGACGTCGTGACCAGGCATGACGGACGCGTTGTCAGACTCGATTGCCGAGCGCACACGCTGCAGCTCGCCTTTCTTGCTGAAGTATATCCCGTACGGAGCACTCGCTGAGGTAGGTGTATCTGACGCGCTGCTAGCGTGCGGCTTATTCATGGGTGTGGTTAGGTCATGCCCTACTTGAGCAGACGGGCGATAGAGAACAAGTCGGTGTTGGGAGATGGCGCGGCGACTGAGGAACGGAGGCGTGCTGGGGAACTGATTTGGAAGAGGCTGTTTGGCTGAACTTTCGGGTGCCGTTGGTAGGTTAGAAAGGGACTATCGGTTGGCAAGTGGAGCTTAGACAACGATATGTGAGTGTCCTCTCGCTGTCAATGACAAGGGCATAACTACGCTATGCCGTTCTTACGCGTTATGTGCTACTTAGTTCAGTTGGCAATGCATGAGCATGTGCTAGTTCGGCTGACAATGCATGGACATGTGCATGTACTACGCAATTATACGACCGCCCTCCCCACTCAACAAGGTCGTGTTTAGGGTCTGCCTACGGGAGACTAGTACGCAATGCTGTGTCAAGGTAGCTTTGACTTCGTTCAGTCCAGGGACCTCACTGTGTTTACCCATTCTCGTTTTAGAGCACTTTAGTACTAGTACGTGGAGGTAGAAGACTGTTTTTAAAGCGATGACACCGCCACAAGGCCGTGCTTATCGCCGCGACCGACTCAGACAGAAGCTTCAAGCAGTTATTTTGAGTACGTACTGATCCAGATCTACGGGGAGATCATTGGTCCCGATGCGACAGACCGATGTTGACCGAGTGCTCAGCTGTACTATCACTTATCCAGCAGGGCCACTGCTCACAGCTCCAAAAATCTGATGATGATCAGCTAGGGAGGACTACTGTCTGATATGTGTTACATTGCCAGGCGATCCGCAAGTAGGCCGACAACTTCAGTGGAGGCGCGCGAAAGACGGGGAGGTGTGAGTAGCGGGCACTGTCCGGGCCCGACGAGGACGGACATGGCGGGAGAAGGCCCGGGGATGTGTCGATCGGGACGTGGGCGGGAGGGGCGGGGATTGGGCGGGGACGAAGCGAGGTGGGCGGTCAATTGCCGTCGCGACTTCTCTCGGCCTGCCATCAACTCCGCTTCGTGAGCGGGTCGCTCATCCCATCACGCGCTCAGATCACTCGATGCGCCATTCAGTTATGAACACCTCGCTGTATGCGCCATGGTCTGTTTCTCCCCGCGTCTTCACTTCCTCGCCGTCTCCTGGTCTCCCTTCCACTCCTTTGCTGCATTGTCCCTTTCCAGGCAAAGATGTCGGCGACTGCTGCGGAGATGGCTGCGCTGCAGGAGATCGTCAGATCGACTATGGGTGCCATTATGATCGGTCTGTTCTTTAGTTCCACGTACGTCTGCGCGTAACTCTCTGGTGGGGGCTGTCGCTGACCCTCCTCACAGTTTCTTCGGCATCACTCTGTTGCAAACATATCAGTACTACGACCGCTACTGGTCCGACGCCTGGTGGCTGAAGCTCTTCGTGAGTTCGTGTGCCGTATGTTCGGCGATCGGCTGCTGAGTTCTGACCTTCACTAGGTTGCTGTCATAACGTGCGTCTCAACCCCTCTCGTGGCAATACCATTGCTGACGCGTTGACAGGATCCTAGATGCGCTTCAGCTCGTCACCGTCGTCCACGCGAATTGGTGGTATCTCATAGCAAACTACGCCAATCCGCAGGCGCTCCAATACGTTCCATGGAGTCTAGGAGTGAGTCCCTTGTGCGCGTGGTGGTGCGGATGTTAATGCATATATGCAGCTGGAGACGGGATTGACTGTGAGTGCGGTAGTCCTTGCATCGACTAATTGACGAGTCTCACCTCCGTAGTCATCAATTGGTTTCCTTGTACAAACGTACGTCGTGTTCTCCGCATATATGCGCACCCTCTTTCGAGACTAATGCGCGTACAAAGTTTCTTCGCCATGCGTGTATACATACGTTCGTCGACTCGCTGTCTGACCTCCCGAACACGTCTGATGATACAACATGCAATACAGTTAGCCGAGGGAATGGCTGGATGACAGCACTTATTGTACGTCTGACCACATACTCGGTGGAGACCCTTCGCTAACGCGGCCCTGGAGTAGATGCTATGTGCCTTGTCTCAATTTGGTACGTGCCTACGGACCGATTGAATGTATGCGTCGGACTAATCAAGCGAACATGCTGAACAGTGATTGGAGTGTGTGCGTATCGCCGGTCCTCTTTCCTCGCAACGCACTGAAACCCAGCTTCACCGGTAGACTATACTGCAGCAGGGTGAGCACCGGGCGTCGTCTCCGGTCGACTCTTCATTGACCAACTCGGCTTCTCGTACCAGCAACACACGCAGCTCGCCGCAACGATCGGGACGATCATCGTACGTCCTTCATTACGCAGGCCTCCCAAGCTTGCATTGATGTTAACCTGTTCCGTATTCAGTGGGCATCGACCGCCGCGCTCGCGTGCAGTATCGCGGGTGATGTGCTAATCACGCTCTCGATGTGCTACTACTTGTATCTCGGCCGGTCGGGCATCGCTAGGTGCGTGCGGGTACGCCACTTTTAAAGGGAAGTACAGCTCACGCGCACCGTATGGATGCAGCTCGGACAAAATGATCATGTGCTCATGAAGTATACAGTCAACACCGGATTGCTGACGACGTGCGTAACAAATCGTCTATGCCCGTTAGGACAGTGCGTGCTGATGCCGTTTGGGCGATGTAGCGTGGCCGCGATCTGTACCATCATTCTGGTACGTGCTATTCCACCACACGCGTCGCAGGATCTGGTCTGACTTTCGCATCTTGCAGTCAGAAACGCTCTCGAAGACGTTCTGGGACACGATGTTCTACTTCGTCGTCAGCAAGTGCTACGTCAACTCCACGCTCGCAACGTAAGTCCCCGTCACCCACCGCCGCCGCCTCCCTTCTCCCGCTCACTGACTACCCGTCCTCCGCAGGCTCAACGCGCGCGAGAAGCTGCGCAACCGCGTGTACGTGGGCACCGCGTCGGGCCCGACGGCGGGCGGCGCGAGCACGGGGTACCGCCCGTCGCTGTCGTTCGCGCCCATGGACCCCGTGCAAAGCGCGTTCACCCACTACACGGAGGACTCGACCGCGTCGGTGTTCAGCGGGACGGTCGTGGGCTCGGGCCGCCATGTCGACGAGGAAGAGGAGGACAAGGACGAGCGGAGGAAGGCCGGGGGCGGCGGGTATTTGGTGTGAGGGCCCGGGTCGGTGTTCGAGTCTTAGTGTGAAACCCTTAGAACGTGCGTCTGGGCGAAGGTGCAGCCTCGGCGTACGCAGGCTACTCGACTGTTTGTGTTGTGATTACCGGCCCACGCGTGCGCCATTTACCATACCTAATTGCCTACTCGCCCTGATGTATACCTCATGTACATGTACATAGAACGCCTCGTCCGTAACCAATATGTCCCTCCTTCGGTGTACCCCAGCTCTTGGCGGATTCACCCTGTGTTTCGTGCGACGGGCCCTCTGGGGCTGACCGTGGCACCACGGCCCATGATCTCATACGAGTCGCACCGTATGAGGTCCAGTGCGTGTCGTAAACAGTTCAAATATGTGGCTAGTACACCAGGATCAGCATAAGTCAGAACACATTTCAACACTTTAGCCAAAGCGAACGAACTATGACTTCAGTCGAATTCCGCGTCCCTGCAGTTGCGATACTGGAACTTGGGAGGAGGAGGGCGGGCCTTATTTACGTCTTGACGCCAGTTCGGGTTATACTCTGTCTCTTCGAGCTGTTTGGTCGCCACGAAACCTACCACGAGGAGCGGGTGAGCGTACGTTGAGCAATAGGTTAGCAAGGAATGCAGACCACGACCGAGCGACATGTTGACGATTCCTCCGTCGAGTCTGATAATCAGGAATGGGATGAGCGGATTTCCAGGTCCTACTTCACGCCTGTCCTGCAGCACACTCATGCACAATCCCGCGCCCTCGCCGGGACCGAGCTTCATACCGAGCTCGATATGGCCGAGCATGTCCGCTATGCGGAGTACGGTGCATCCGACGATCGTGAACTTGTCTGTGGCCAGCGGGCCCGCGTCGGGAGTGTACACTGACTTCTCGAGGACGAGGTGTGTGTGCGCCCGGCCAGGGTTTTTCTGCAACCGCAGTGCGCTAGCGTAGGCCCAGCTGTCAATGGACATCTGCCATTCAAGCCAGTGTTTCGCCTTCTGTGCTGCAGATGGATCCGTGAGGGAGAGCCGTTCGATGTGTTGGTTCATATTTATGATGTTCCTGACCGATAGCTAGGTAAGCAAATGTCAGGTACGCACGTCAATCAACGTCGACTCACTTGCAGGTGCCCCTACAAGTAGTAGTGGACAGAACGTTATCTTCCGTTACCAGTGTATGAAATTGTACCTGGGTGGACACGTACTTGTGCAACGGCCAGTCTGCCTTTTGACACTCTCGAGAGCTACACAAAGTCAGTTGTCTGCCACTTGACCGCGTGGAGTAACGTACCAATAATAGAGACTCTTGCATCTCGAGCACGCAAGTAGCTTCACCATCGGTTCCCGAGCGAAGCATCGTCCGCATTGCTTGCCTAGGCGGCGATCCGTCTCGTCGGTGTGCTTGCGTCCATCAAGCCAGGAGGGCCCACCCAGTGCTTCCAGGATCGGACCGGTCTGTCCATCTGGCATGAGGATCTCGCGAAGGGTCTCATCAAACAACTGGTGCGGATTCTTGAGGAACCACTTGATCAGCCACTTCTCACTGGCATGACCGTCAGACTCGCGATCCGGATGAAGCATTGTCAGACAACTCACTGCTTCTTTGCGGCCCCTGCTTTTCCATTTCGCCGCAGCACGCGCGACAAGTACACCTTGTTTATGACCAGATCCTCCAATCCATTGAGACCAGGAAGGAGCGAGTCGACAAGATGTGTCAGGAGTGTCTCTGCCATTGTATCATCCTCGCCGTTGTATGTTAGGGCTTCCGCGAAGAACATTAGTCGAATGCTG